ATATATATATATATATATATATATATAAGCTATGTAGTAATTTATGAAAAAAAATACATTAAATTTGATTATGTTTTAATTGGGTAATTATATAATCAGGAGCCAGGATGATCAAATTCGTATATATTGTCTATTAGAAGACTAAATAGATATGAATATATTGAAATTGATTTAAGCATGTACTCGATTATAAGTTAATTATCCTATTAAGATGCTAAAAGCAAAAATCTTCGGTGAAAGTTCTTGTAACTAAAAAGTAGTGATAAAACCTTGTTTTAATATTTTTTGTTGTGTTGTAACATTGAAACATGAGAACTTACAATTAAAGTATCGTATTTATTTTAAATAATCGTATAGTAGTACTTACTATTGCCCCTGTTTGAACCCCATTCTACATTATAGCACGTTATTTTCTCTACAGTATTCATTTTCAACTATACATTCTTGACTAAAATAATATTATACGTAAATAACAAAAAATTCTTCTTTTTTTTACCGCACATTATCCATCAATCACTATTCTACAATACATTACTTCAAATTAATGGGCTCAAACAGGCAACAATGAAGCTAAATATTTTAGGATTTCATTTTAAAGACGGAATTCCCAACAAAAGGATGTCGTATTGCAGGTACATAAACTGCTTCATCTATGTATTTCTCGCACATGATTAGATTGATCTTTTTGTATTTTTGTAATTAAGTCCTTATTTGGTATTGATTTAAATCAGATTTTACTATAAGTCAAAGTCAAATAATTGATATTAACCACATTTTTTATGGATCCCACAATTTTTCAACCACATATTTCAAAAACTTTTATCCAAATCTACTAAAAATTTAATTTTAATCCCCATCAAACAAGGGCTAAATTAGCTCGTTGTCAAAAAATTCGAATGTTAAATGAAATATCGTTATTTACATCAATCCTTGAGCGATTAACCATTACCTCCGATTAGTTCAACTTTATCATTTTCAAAATTGATATACCTAATATCATCAACAGATTTATCGTAGGTGATAGAAATTATATTCATCCGTATGTAAAAGCTTGAATCATCTTTTATTAACAAAAATTGATTTATGTCACCTATGGAATACCCATAGATGAAATATTCAAATATTAGCTAACTATATTAGGCACGGAATATCTATTCAAAGATTTATGGTATTGAAGCCCATTTATTAAAATGGGTGGGGGGATGTTGGTGCATTTTAATATTAAAAAAATCATTCGTTATATTTTCTTTAATAAGTTTGTAGGTTTTGGAAGTTATGAATGTGAAGAGGTTGGAGGTTTGGAAAATGAAAGATGAAAAAGTTCATATGTTTATGACACTTCTTTATTTTGGGTGGCCTATTTTTACCTATTAATAGAATCATTCCTTGGTCATTCATCAACACCACAACAATCACAATTCTTTAACTTTTCTCCATCTATTCTCACTCATTTTCCTTGAAAGATTATTGAGCAAAGAATGATGTTTCTTTTAGTGGAGCTTTGAGCTCAAATACTCGTGCAGAGTTTGTTTGAGCCATACGACAAATAGGCGGGCTGTTGTATCCTGTAGGGACAAGTCATAGAAAAACTCTGCTACACTGTATTTTAGCCTTTACCAATCGTAGAAAGCTTGAATCTCCTTAAAAAAAGCGAGACATCTATGCTTCAGTCCATTCGATTTCGTTATCTTTTTATTCATTTTGTAATTCCATTTTTTATTATTGAAATTTCACCAACATTTTCCATCGATCATCTATTTTCAAATTCATTGTTATTGTCACTTCATATGAAAATTAAAGAAAAACATTTTAGACAATATCAACATTATATTAAAAACATTTTAGACAATATTCAACATCATATTACTCAAAAAAAATAAAAAATAAAAAAGGTTTGAACCCCAACTTTGAGGGCACCGTCCCGCCACTCCCCTAGAGCTTTGTAAAGGAGGTAAATCGCGAGATATGCCCTAATAGGTCAGAAAACAAGAGCTGCCTGTACACTAGACCTACAAGGAGTTCAATTTCATGTTTCAGGAATCGAACCCCCACACTGTGGCTATCAACAAGACGTGAGATAACTTTATTTCCGTCCTTTACACCACTGGACTATGCCCGAGAGGCCAATAACATATTACTCTACACTAGAATAAGAGGCATTAGCGTGTTGGCATGTGTTGACCCCCTCCTATGGCACTAGCTAGAAAATGCGGTCTTCCTACTATTCATGACTTGGCCTTGCTTGGGACGAAGTCTTGAAAAATGACAAGGTTATAATTTCTTTTTCTTTCTTATAAATAAATGTTATCCAGTATTAGTAAACGTGTCATCATTTATCATCCTTGACAGGATATCTTATCCAGGAGAATAATTTTATATCATGGTTTGAACTTAATTCATCAATTATCTTCATCAAGTTCACATGATGCATGTAATTGCATATGCTTACATATGTAAAAGGGAAAACTTAAATAGTCTCAACTTATTATTCAAGCAACAAGTTGGTCTTTAATTTTGATTACAATTGTACAATCTGTCATCGTCAATATAAATAATTGAAATCTCTATTTAACCATCAATTGACCCTCTCACGTTCAATTTTATGAAGTCAATTTAACTTCACAACTTCACTTGACATCCTAAAATTTGATCCGAACATATTTTTAAATATGACCATCCAAAAACTATTTATTTTTTAGTCATTAAAGATTAATTGAACAAGTGTAACAAAATATTGAAAAGCAACGTGCTCGTAATTGTTTCAAGAATACGACTCGACTTCCTTCTACAACAATGGAGGAATGGATGCCACCTTTTCCCACATATAAAACCTTCATTTTAGTGCCACTACACTTTCATCCAGAGAGGATTGAAAGAGATTGGTCTGTACAAGAAGAGGAAATATCAAGATTAGGGTATCGTATCTTTTAATCCCTGCCACAGAATGGGGTTGATAAAATTGGAAAAAAGTGAAATGTCCAAATTAACCTCGAGATGCTTTTTAATTTTCATTTCCACCCCTGGGGATGTTGGAATGAAAGGTGACCACAAAATTAATGAATATCTACACTTGTTGTAGATATTCTAGGAGGTGGGTTGGCCAACCTATTTATGTTGACGGTTGTCCAAATTTAGGCCAATCAAAACCTAAATGAAATGTATGCTTGTAATTGTGGGGCTAGGCCATGCCCTTTAATAAAAGTATTAAAATGGATTCTCAAGTTGCTAGTCAGTGCACACGACAGTTGTTCTTTTAAAAAATAATAATATTTAAGTTCCAACTGATTAAGATTTGTATCATAAGACGAATTATATAGTACTCGATAGTGTAAAAGAATTAGAATTATGTGATATTACATGATTTAGTACTGCGTATCAAATACTACTTTAAAATTCATCAATCCATACATTTACAAGCAGGGGAAGATAATGAAAATTCAAATTCTTCGAAATTTTTTACTCTACATCGAGATAATGTATGATGATAGAATTGGATGTGATTAAAGAAATGGGACATTGAGTTTTCAAGTTATTTTTGCTATCAATATTAATTATTACTAAGCACACCTTACCTTTATTAATTGGACAAACTTTAACAATAGTACAAGATTTAATGTAAGGGATAATTTCCTATCAGGATGATAACAACTCTACGAAGGGTTGTCTTTACCAGGATTTTGTAATTGAAAATGTTAGATTAAGCTTGGGAATACAAGTATTTAAGTATTTTTCAAGTTTTGGCAAATAAGTTTTAGAGTAAAAGAAAATAATTTATAGAAAACCATAATCGTATTTTGGCAAGAAAAGTAACTTAAGTTTAGCCAAAAAATGATAAAACTTTAAGAAATTTTATGCATGAGTAATCGTATTTTAATTTGGTTTGATTGGATAGCTACACTTTAATTTAATATTAATTAAGATAACTTTGTCCAATTTCATTACTGATAATTGATGACATAATACACAATAAATGATAGTTATCACACGTAACTATTAGTTGCTAGCATGAAATAAGTGAACTTAATTGAAATAAATAATGAGCATCATTATTGAGTACTATGTCATCAATTTCCATTAGTCCAAATGACGAAATTGGAAAGAGTTACTCAATTGAAATTAAAATAAAGTAATTAGGATTAAACAAATTGAAGTATAGTTACCGCGAACGAAATTTAACCTAAAACGTCATGTTGAACAAAAATTATAAATGAATAAATTCTTTTTTACATAACAATTTAAACTTTTAGACATAAAATCTAGGTGTACAGAATGTGGATGCACCTTGAGGTATGCCCAAAATGATAATTCTATCAATCACTCCTCTATATATAAACCTCTATTTCTCTCTTTCACATTGTTTCAAGCAAATTGTCCCAAACATTTGCTCTGTCCAAATTAAGAAAATTATCGTCTAAATTTTGTACACTACTCAATTATGGCTCTCTCGTATTCCATGTTCTTGCTATCAATATTGCTTGCGTTTGCAGCCTTTTCAGCTGCGCAATCTCCAATTTCAGCACCTCCAATGGCAACACCAGCAATGCCACCATCTAGCATGGCGGCACCACCACAAATGGCTGCAACTCCGCCTTCAACTAGTATGCCGCCGGCCATGTCACCACCGCCAATGGCAGCTCCACCGATGGCGCCTGGTCCATCCATGACCTCACCCCCTGCACCGCCAATGTCAGCCCCATCAATGGCGCCTGGTCCATCCATGACCTCACCCCCTGCACCGCCAATGGCAGCTCCATCAATGGCGCCGGGTCCATCGTTGACCTCACCCCCTTCACCGCCAATGGCAACTCCACCAATGGCGCCTGGTCCATCGCCCATGGGGGAATCTCCAGGGCCTTCTATGTCTCTTTCTCCACCCCGGTCGGCTGATTTTGTACATGGATGTAGCACAACTATCTTGGCACTGCTCGGTGGAGTCGCACTCCTAGCTTAACTTATGGCTACCGGTTTCAGTTTCCATTTATGTTTTTGACTTATTTGGGAAGGTAAACTAGTACTTATTATCAAAAGAAGCTACTATCTTGCTAGTTATATTGTTCTACATATGTACCAAACTTGTGCTTCGTGTAGGGTTGAATAATTATTTGTGAATTCTTTCTGTTCCAAGTGTTTCTTCGTGCTATATCTACATGTAACCATTTATTTGGTGATTGATTATGGATTGTATTATAGATTTATTGTGCTACTACTCGTAGCATTTTGGCTTTAGCTTTAATAAGAAGACTCTTTCATTATTGTTTGTGTTTCAGTACTAAGAATCTCTAATACAAGTATTGGAAAACTGAAAAATAAAGCATTGGAATTGACTAACAACACACTCTGTATACGTTTCTTACCTTAGGCTATACATGATTGAAGTGAATAACTAATAAATTGTTTACGTGTCTCAATCTGTTCCCCGATACTGTCAATCTTATCTAATCAAATATACTAAACATGTTAAACATACAGTTCTACTTCGATTTTCATGGTTGCTTGACTAATTGAATTCAACTAAGCACAAATTGTTTTAAGATTGAAAATGCATGTGTTTTGTGTGTGAACGTTTAGATAAAACACTAACTAAATGGGTGGAGGAGAGGTGAGAAGCCTTTTAGGAAATGGGGAAAGTGTCCAATGGGAGTTTTGAGTGGATTGGAAAGACGAGATTAAAAGGGTCATAGCACATAAGAGGTGGATGGGTAGAGAAGTGGGGCAAACTCTGGACAAAGGAAAATAATTAGGATAGTGATATGCACATGGTGTGTTAACCCCACACTCTCTCTCACACATAGAGAGAATGTTATTTTAGGAAATTTTTAGACGCGTGGCTTAGTAAATGGTTTAATCTTTATAAATTTACCTTCCAAGAAAAAAGGGTATAAATTAAAAAAACAATGTCAAAAATCATTTGATAAAGTAGAATAATTCATGTTTTTTCACAAATATGTGACTAAAAATTAGTGTGAAAGAGAAACGATTATCAAATAATCACTTTCAAACAAGGACTTAATTTCAATTTCGATAACTCGTTACAATTCCACTAAAGGAAATTGATAACGTAATCAATATATGAAGGTCACACTACACATGTATGTTAGTTGCAATTTTAAATAAGTACAACTTCAATTAAAAAATGATGACTATCGTTATTGATTGCCAAGTTATCAATTTTTTTCATTGGCTCAAATGACGAAATTGAACAAAGTTACCCAATAAAATCAAATTGAAGTGTAATTATCTCGCAGAATAAAATTGAAAATAAGTACTCCGAATGGAATTTTACCCCAAGAAAAAACAAAAGGTAAACAAGTTGTTACCAAGTACAAAAATTGTGGGAGAATTGATCCGTGATTCTTGTTCTATGAAACATGAGATTCCCAGATCAAAAATGGTGTCCGTGTATTATAAAGTCAGGAAGAAAAGCATCGGATCTATACAAAGTAGACAATCGGAATCATCACCGACTTTATATCTTTTCCTTCATTCGTCAATACCAAATAATGCACTCTTTGCACAAAAATAAATGAATAAATAAAAATACTCGCTCGATAATTGCTTTGAGACCTTCATAGTTATTTAAGGTCCTATTTGAGCCCCGTTAATTTGAAGAAATGTATTATGAAATAGTGATTGATGGAGAATGTAGGGTTAACAAAGAATGAAATTTTTTTTATTTACATGTAATATTATTTTAATGAAGAATGCGTAATTAAAAATAAGTAATGGACTAAATTTCAACTCTATCATCAAATTATCAAATAATTGACATGACCAACGGCGGAATCAAGACTCAAATTCAGTGAGAACCTATTTGACCATGAAAAATATTTTCGAACATAAAATACTAAAAATGAAAAAGAACAAAAATAATGAAAAGTCGTAAAAACTACATTTTTTTTTTTCTCAAAATTCAGTGAGCGCTAGGGACCAGCATCCGCCACTGGACGTGATTAAGCATAATACATGCCAATGGAACGATTACTTGATTGATCCATATTGAGAAAAACTTAGAATCAAGATAATATTCTGACAGCCAAACAAATAACAACCTCATCTCGACCAGCGGGAAAAAAGAGCATAATAGCCTACTAAATTTTTCTATGATACTTAATTTAAGGCATACTCCTACCCAATATCGCATCATAATAGATTTTTATCGTCCAGCAAATCCATTTCTTTTACTGGTAATTTATAATAATCAATTTATTCGAAATTATAACATTCATCATTTCAGGAAAAAAGAATAAATACCCGAATGGTAGTATTTTTCAGTCATCTTATCACTTTTCTACTAGCATCTTTCAATATTAAGTAACTTGCACAAAAATGATTGCATATAAATATTAATCCAAAAAGCCCCAGTTGCTTGACAATGAAAAGATAAAACTCAGCCATGACAATGAGGAAAGGAGGAATCCTCTTGGTAAAATTGGAATCAAGAACTCTAGTTAGAAACATAGAAAAGAACATTTCTCAACCTCCTCACGGTACATAGACGTATTTCATGCAAATTTGCAACCTAAATTGCTCTCAGAGATGAAAACCTTGTGTTGATGAATAGGATGTCACAACGCAAACTAACTTCTTCTCTCAGAACCAATTTCTAGTTCAAGTCAAAATGAATGCTGTTAAATTATGTGGATCAGATTATAAAAAAATAAGCAGTATAGGACTAACTTTCACCTTTTCCTTTGTTTTCTACGACAAACAAAACATTCACTACATGGGGACTTGCTACCTGAGAAGCTAGATTGGAGCTTACTTGGTGGGACTTTCAACTCTTCAATCAATATTTGGCAAAGCTTCTCATTTTCTCGCATCAATTCCTCAATGAGTAGTTGGTGCTTTAACACCTAAATGCATTATAAATCCACCGTGTGAAAATTACCACTTATTGTGCAAAACCAATGATTGTATTTGCAGGAAGTTTCTAAAGTTGATTGTGAAAAAAATGCATAAATAGATTGAAGATAGTCTGTAATGACTCTGATATGAATTGGCCCCCGGGGATGATGAGGGAGGTGGGAGTGTTCTTATATGACTACAATGAAACAAAATTGCAAAATAAATTTGCTTATAAATAAGATGTAGTACCATCTGAAGCATGTTGTTCTGTGATTGCAACTTCTCAGCCTGCAAGTGAAATCCACTGATTACAGCACTCATTTACAAAGAACAAAACTCAACATAACCTATGTTCTATCCATCAGGAGAGCCTAATAGGTGTTTTAAGTATTTATTCCATTATGGATATGTGTAATTGACTGATTGACAACAAAAGTTAAAATGCAATATCCCCAGCATTGTTTCTGTTCATATCATAATATATAAACAGACCCATTCAGCACAAGAATTTGCAAACAGAATATAAATAATACTAAATTCAATGAACGCATGGAAAATTAAAATCTCATAAGACACATAAAGCAAGCAAAAAGACAGTAATTGCATCAGCCTGTCAACCTTGTTCTAGCCAGAAATATAAGACGATAATAGCATATAGTTGCAGGTCATCTATCATTGTGTCAACAATCTTCTGTGTTAAGCAAAAGGGCATAAGATTGGCAATGGTCTATGCACAAAATTCACAAATCTATGGATTTAATTTATTTTCTAGTGACAGGATCTAAATCCAGAGAATATCCCGGGAATTGTTTTGTATCTTGTTCCACCTTTTTAGGAAATGCAAAGCTACGGGCAATCAAAAACTTTCAGCTTCTCCAAACCAGAGTTACAGTATTGAATTTCAAAAGAAAGCATAATATGAAGGGAGCAAACCCCCCCCCCCCCCCCCCCCCCCCGGAAAAAAAAAAAAAAAAAAAAAAAAAGGCCCCGGGAAAAAATGAAAAAGAAAAAAGAAAGGAAATAAAGAAGAAAAAAGGCTCGTGAGTGTTTACTTCTAAGTAAAAAATACTACATGACAGTATGAAAATTAAAAGGTCTGTATTCACGTACTTTCTCATTTACTTTGCCCCTCTCCTCTTTCAAAAGTGGATTCTCAAAAAAGTTGCTGATGACCTTCTCTACTCGACTGGCAGATTGAGTGTTGACTGCATCAGTTTCAGGTGCTAAAGTTTCCACGGAAGAATTCTCATTTGTACTTCTCTGCCCAATATTGCCTTGTTCCGTACTATTGGGTATTGATTTTACCAACTGGCCCATACTTCCAATTGGATTATCATGTGAGGGTTCCTTTACCATGTTTATGCCACTTCGTAAGGAAGCTGGGAGAATGCCTTGATCAACAAACAGGCCGGGAGATATTCCAAGTTTCATCATCACGTGTGTAACTGCTTGCTGAAAAATTAGGAGATGAAACTAGATTTAAAAAGCAACGACTTTGGAATGTACTATTAACTAGATAGCATACAATATGACTACGTACTAAAAGATTCGACTGCATCTTGTGCACTACACCAGGCTTCACTGCAAGGCCTGCAATGAGTCATAATATCTTAGCTATCTAGTTTAAGTCAGTATGAATGTGAGCTACTGCTTTCAAAAAATATTGATCACTCGTAATTCAACAAGTCTTTCTACGGATAAACACATGGCATGCTCAGGTAGTAAATAAGAAAAAGAAGTTAAAATGTCGTTTGTACTACCGACCAATACGATCTAGAACGGCATATCAAATGTGCCCTTGGTTCCTAATATTTTAGATCCAGCAAAGTAGTTTAGTACATGGACTGTGGAGCAAAGAAAGAAGTTTGAACAAATTAACCAAATCTCAAGTCTAAACAATAATGTTAGGCTCAAATATGTTCTTGAAGGCTGAGAATGGTACAGAGATTTTCAAGATGATGTATTCAGCCAATAGATGAGGTGACATCTAGCATTAAGAAACAAAGTGTAAAAATATGATATTACAGAAAATTAGCTTGCCAGATAATCCAGATGAGCCCAAGTAGCAGATATAATGCATAAAACAACAGTTAATTACAGGTGAAGCAATGGCGACCTATTTAAAATGAACTTGTCAGTAAATAAAGTAACTCAGACTAATTACTCAAATTCCTACTTCCTCCTTTCAAGAAAGATGTTAAATGGTTTTCCACCATTTTCTGATTAAAGATAGAGGTCTATTATGACCAATTCAGGATAAAGCATTAATAAAATGGTATACCAAGAGAAAAAGACTGTATAGTTTCATTTTACAATAGAACCAATTTACTTTAAGTTATAAGATATATTAAGTGCTATCTGGTTTATCTTGCTGAAGACTGTAATTGGTTTCAGCTAAGAACTTAACTCATGCTTCCAAACAACCAGTGTATTTTAATATAAAATACGAATACGGTGACTATTCATTTCGTAGATTCTTTCTTTGCCTCTTCTATAACTTACAAAAGTTGTTCAAAAATGATAGTGTCAGCATAGACAAGAAAAATAATTGCCTATAGTGCATTTTGATTTATGAGAGAGATACAATCCTAGTAGAACACGTCAAAAGAGGAAGAAATAATAAAACTAACATGACTTCACAAATTTGCAAAACATTTGTTTCATTATATGTTTCAGTAGACATAGTTTTCGATTAAAATGAGTGAAAAATCAATTTATGTAGTTGTCCTCAAGTTTATCGGGACTATGTATTAACATGTGGTTGTTTATGGTATAATATGATTCAATGACTAAAAGTGGTCATAATTGAAAAATAGTATCATGCTTGGGCCATAAGCTTAAGAAAAGAAGGATTTTATGAACGGATTTCGTTTTAAAAGATAAGATAAAAGAAATAGCTCTGTTTTTGGTTTTTACTTATGAAAATAGTCTTCTGTGTACTTAAAAAGATAATGTATATTTTATCCTTATTGAAAATAGTGTGACTACCAAAGTAGTGGGTGGCAAGCTGGGTGCTTAACTTGTCCAACTTGACTAACTCCCAAGTTGCACAACTTGGGAGAAATTCAAAGGCGCAGTTCAAATTTAAAAGTTCATCCAGCCAAAACCATTTCATGGCCCAACAGCTCCCTTAATTAATGCAGGAATTCTCCTTGACGAAATGTCTGCAATAACTATTCAAATACTATTTCTTTGGAACTTCACCAACTCGTTGTAGAAACCCCAAAAAATCAGAGAAGTAATCGTTCAACTTAAACAAGGAAAGACAAGGGAGGCAATTTTGGATTATGTGTAATTTCCTAAGGAAAGAAAGCTTCGTTGTAAGACAATTTTATGAGAAGGTTAGTTTTCATTCACAGTTGTGCCACTATACCTGTGGATGGCACCTAAACTAGTCAGAGAATATGAGAAGGGTCCATGCTTACATCAATTTTACACGAATAAACAATGTGCATAAGTATCTTAAGAATACCTAAGCAGTACTTCTATAATCTGAATACTTACCAACTCCAAAGCCATGGCCAAAACCCACTCCGCAACCAATGCCTGCTTCAAGGTTCTTTGCACCCACTTTCCTCAACTAGACATAGGATCAATAAGAACAAAGATATATTGGAAAACTTGCTACTACAAACGTTACCAAATCATCCAACCCACAGATATTAGCAAAACCTACAGAATTATTGACATGCCTTCCAACATCAGAAAAAGCATCTGTTGCGCCCCGAGTGGCAACCATTATTTGGTTCAGAACTGGTATCGCACCTGATGTACAAATAATCTTCAAAGCTTGTTATAATGAACAAAAGTTTGAATTGACCCACATACCCAACGACTGATTTTATATTTACCACGTCATCATGTTGCACGTCCAAAAGAAAAATTAAAGCAATACATTGTAGCCTGATCTCATCACATTCAATTGATTTTTTTTAATGACAAAAAGTTAAAATGACAATTGGTGAAGCTACCAAGAAATAACAGGAAAGACTATGTTTACCAGACCTCATAAGTAGGAATGGATCCAAAATCTAATTGAACTTCCAAGTTGAAATGAACAAGATTTGAATAATCAAACAAAAGGTACAAAAAATATTTGCTTAACTAGAATATTCAAATGAACACCATGCCTCTACTTTTCTCCAGAAAGGCCTTAAGGGGTCATAGTATCCTTTACTGCTGTATACAACTGCTTTTGGGTTCTGGGTGCTTTCTTATCCTAGCAGCTTCTTCAACAAAGAAATACTAATTCTAGGTAACATTTTTATTTTCTCTGTTGAACATCAAAGAAACATTATAATTGAATTCAGCAATCCTGTCAACCAAGTATAGCTCAACAAGTTGGCAAAGAGCTTCCCCAGCCACAGAGTAAAAGAACTGATTTTATCAACAGGTTAGGTCATTTAGAGTGGCTTTATAGAGATTTTACAACCACTAATGTAATGATGAATCGAACCCAAAATCAGATTAAATATGTCCTACCGTCATGTAGAAACTATAAAATAAACAAAGTTCAGAGATAAAGTTAATCAAAAGAAAACGTCAAGAATTCCACCATGTATTTTGCCTACTACTATGTAGTTACTGAAAGAAAATTGTTAATTCTTGCATCGCAATAACAATTAATCCTCATGATTACATAAGCACACCACAGACTTTACAGCAATGCAAGCATTCAAACTCCATGAAACATATATCAAAAAAAGGTTTAGAATATAATAAAATTGCTAACCAAAAAAAAAAAAAAAAAAAAAAAAAAAACAACAACATTTTTACATTAATTATTGGTATTCACATATTTGAGTTTGAACGAAATCCCGAAGTTCATCCTTTCCGTATTTTTCAATCAATAGCTTCGAGTCTAAATAGAGAAGATAATTGAAAAGAGAAAACCGAAAAGAGGCAAACTCGGTACCTAAATTTAAAGGGCGACCAACGCCGATGCCAATGCCACAGCCAATTCCAAAGCCAGTGAATACTTGACCCACTTTCAAATTAAAAGGATTCTCCATTCTCACCACTCTATTCTCTTTTGTGTTCATCAACAATTGGTTTTCACTTTCTCGATTTGGCTCCAAAACTATTCAAAACTGATTCGTTATCTCTATGAGAAGGTACAGAACTACACTCTACAGGTGGGAGAGATTCTCCATAAAACTTTTCGTTTCTCCCAGTGGCATAATTGTGAATCTTGTCATCCGGTTGTCTGTAGTCTGGTCGGGTTGAACGGGTTTTCTATTACTCGGGCCTCAACTGCCGGCCCATATACGCGAGGAAATGGTGGCAGATGGGCAAAAAAAATATACAATTTTTCAAAATTACCACTGTTTAAAAAAAAAATCAAAAATTTGTAAAAACTTTAAAAATAATGAAAACTCAAGACTGTCCCTGATAATAAAACTCTGAAATTGACGACAGGAGAGAAAGAAGGAAACCGACGAGTTTCTCTTGGGAGGAGACCGACCGGCTACCATTAGAAGGGAAGAAAGTAAGTTTTGCATAGTTTTTCCCCCATTAATCTATGTTAAAGGTTTATTTTGTTGGAAATAATAGTAGAAATCTTTGTAGAACATGTAAAAATAGTAAAAACTAATATTTTTTAATGTTTAGGTGCCGGCGGGCCGTCTTTGACGGCCCCCAACAGGGAAGAAGACCCGTCTATTTTTATTGTTTTTTTATATCTTTAAATTATTATTTAATTATTATTTAAATGATAAAAGAAAAATATAAATAATGAATAAATGTTAATAATCAAAATACGCAAGTAAAATTTAATTACAGATTAATTGAAAGAAATTTAACCTTTTAAATAAATAATTAAATATTTACGTTTACTTGTTCAATAAATAATTCAAATAATTAAATGATTAAATTAAATAATTTAAATAAACAATTGAAATGAAAAATCATTGGAATAAATAATTAATTTCTCATAAAAATAAATAATGGACATATAAATAATAATTAAATGATTATTTAAATGATAAATAAATAAATGTTATTAATCAAAATACCAATTAAATTTTAATTGATACAAATTTTTAACATTTGAATTAAATAATTACGTTTGCTTGCTCAATAAATAATTTAAATAATATTTCCATATAAGTAATTAAATCAAATAATTTAAATGAGCAATTGAAACAAATAATGAAAAACAATTGGAATAAATAATTAATTGAAATGCACAAAAATAAATAATGAACATTTAAATAATAACTACATGATTATTTAAATAATAAATGAATAAATGTTAAAATTGAAAATATTAATTAAAGTTTAATTGAAATAAATTTCTAACATTTGAAATGATATTATTAAATATTTACCTTTGCTTGATCAATAAATAATTTAAATAATCGATTCATATAAGTAATTAAATCAAATAATTTAAATGAACAATTGAAACAAATAATGAAAAACAATTTGAATAAATAATTAATTGAAATGCACAAAAATAAATAATGAACATTTAAATAATAATTACATGATTATTTAAATGATAAATGAATAAATGTTAATATTGAAAATATTAATTAAAGTTTAACTGAAATAAATTTCTAACATTTGAAATGATATTATTAAATATTTACCTTTACTTGTTCAATAAATAATTTAAATAATCGATCAGTATAAATAATTAAATCAAATAATTTAAATGAACAATTGAAACGATTAAATGAAAAATAATTGGATAAAAATAATCAAAGTAAGTAATTAAAATGTAGATAAACAATTGAAATAAATATCTAACATTTAAAATAAATAATTAAATATTCGCTTAATAATTAAAATAAATATTGAATAAACAACTAACGAAAAATATAACAAATAATTACATATTTACGCTTAAATGTTCAATAAATAATTTAAAGAAAATAATTAAATATACAATTATAATAAATAATTAAAATTAAACATTCAATAAACAATTAAAATAAATGTGAAATAAACAAATAAACAATCGAAATAAATAATTTTGATAAACAATTGAAATAAATAATGAACATTTAAATAAAAATAAACAAATTAAATACGTAAGAAATATAAATTTTCAAAATAATTTATTTAAATATGTAATTAAATATAAATAATCAAATTTAATTAAATAAAGAATTGAAATAAATTTCTAACATGGGTTAAAATAAACTACGAAGTAAATAATTTTATAAAAAGTATGTTTTCCCTTTTTTATAAGTTGTTTTGTAATTTTTAATTCATTTTCTTTATTATCTGTTATTTCGTGCGTATATTACTTACAGTTCGATTAGTTGAATTTTGTGACATTATGTTTTAAATGTTCTAACATTTGAAATTTTACAGGATGAATTACCATTTGGATGCAGTCTTGAGATAGGTTCCTAGCAAAGTTACATCGAACTGTAACTTTGCCAGCTCCACAGCAGTGTTTGATTCACTGGACGAGGAGCACGCAGAGATATTACGTCAATCTTGCCTATGCTCCTTGTATTCACTGCGATCTGTACAGTTCTTTGGACAGTTGATCGATTCATTACTGTATCGGCTGCTTAAGCTAGTTGACGAAGATACCATCCACTTTGATTTTGGGGGCAAGTTTACTACATTTTCTATATTCGAGTTTGCCCTCATCACTGGATTGAGATGTACATGCGAAGAGGCAGCGAAGGCCAGTATTTCGACAGACAAGAGGCTGCTGAATGATTACTTTAATGGGCACACGACAGTGGGGATGCGACCAGATGTCCGACAAGTTGAAGTTGGGGATGGTATTTATACTATAGAGCGTACTGAGGTGTCATCACAGTAAGACATCGATTAACGTTTTTCATTTGCAAGTTGTTGATGACATTGATACGTTCAACAACTATCCGTGGGGGAAGAGATGATTTTCAGATACGTTACACGTTTTTGGGAGGGGACATTCGATGCCTAGGGGAGATAGGTCGGAGCGTAAGTACAATGTATATGGCCTGCCATTAGCTTTGCAGGTAAATGTTTAACATAATGTGTTATCCATTTTTTTATTAAATTGTACATATAATAATCGTAATTGTTGCAGATATGGGTCTACGAGACTGTTCCCATCCTGACTGGTCAGTATGCGAGGAAAGGGGATACATGCATTCCTGGGATGCACCGTTGTCGAGTACAAGACAAGCCCCTTGCAAAACAGCTATCAGTTATCCTAGACGATCCTGAGGTACGTATTATATATTTGCGCTTTCTATTATATGTCATTTTCGAAATTGGATACGTGGTCAGTAATTCGATAAAATGTCAATATGTCAGCTTGAAGTCCTCACTGAGCTGACACCATCAATCGAGGAGGAGGATCAGACTTATATTCATGAGTTGTTGACAGATCGTGCTGCTCGAGAGAGGCCTGAGTCCATCATCGATCGGGACATGGTATGTTAATTAAATATAATATATTGATTATCATTATAATTTTTTAATGAAGTTATTGATCTGTAATGTTTCTTTTTTCAGGAGCACCGTCGACTATCAGCTCCGTCGAGGGTGTCACATTCTCCGAGGATGTCGCCTCTACCGAATATCATTATTTTTGTGAGATTAGCACACTTAACAATTTTTGAAAGACAAAATTTGACGGTTGCACGTCAACATGTGTATTTCTTTTGAAGTAAATAAAGTATTAAGATTGGTGGGATGATCGAGAGATTAATGATTAGCGCTCATCCATGAATGGAGAAGTAGATGACTAGTTGGTATTTGAAAAAGACCTCCCATTTCCTTACACAATCAAAATAATTACGAAATTAATAATTAGTGTATGTTCATTAATGGAGAAGTATAATTGAGATCAAAACCTAATTCAAGTTGTATCTTATCAAAGCAACCAAATTCAAGTCTTATTTGGAGGGGATTGGTAAAAATAATAGAAAACGAAATGGGGAACATATTACTGAGTGATATTTAATCAAGATATCTAAATGTTATTATTTAAAGTTACAATTTAGGTACCAATTAAGTCCCTGCTTGGTGGCGTTAAATGTTTCAATGGCCATTGAACTTTGCACCTTATCAATGCTTGCTTAATGAATTTCTTCAATTGTCTCGTTAGCCATTAAACTTTGCTTTGTCGTTGTCTATTGCTCATCGAATGGATGGAGTAAAAAATGATGCTTACGTGTAGGATGAAAAACCATCATGGCTAGTTATTTCAATCCAACTGTAAGTTCATCCGCCAACTCGGCGCTATGTCATTATTTTTCAAACACGACATCCGCCTATTTGTGAAAAGAAAAGACTAAATTAGAATTCTCAAGAAAATCAATCCTCTAACCCTAGTCCAAAAATCGACTGTAATCACTTTAAGAACACAAGGAACCCAAATTGATTGATATCGGTTGTTTCTTGGAGCTGTCGACCGTGATTCGAAGTGCAGTAAAGGTAAATTTCATCTAATCTTGTAACCAATTTGGGGATTGAACATTTTTCTTCATTTGTTCGAATATCTTCATTAATTGTCGACTATTAAATGAAAGTCTTGGCTCCCTTACCTGAGTAGCGATGTAAGGGAAGCTACTGTCAGATTCATCGAACGATCTACATTCTATAATACGTTGCAAATGCGGAATGAATGAGCAAAATTCAAATAATTTTTTTCCATAGTAAGTTTTATCTATTCTTCAGTTACTTTGCAAATTTTATCCGTTCGATGAGCTTACTCTATGTTGTTCTTCAGTCAATTGACAACCATACTTACTAGTATTGAGGTTGGGCAATTTTTCACAAATTATATTTGATCCTCACAAATTTCTGTTCTTCATGAATGTCGTGTTTGTAAAAAAAAATAATGGCGGGTGCTCTGTTGATGGATGAATTTAAAATTGGACCGATGTTATTGGCTACGATGGTTTTTCGCCATCAATGTAGGCATCATTTTTAACTCCATTCAGCCAGTGAGTAATGGACAATGATGGGACAATTGATGAAAACTCAATGAGTAAGCCGTAATATTGTGCAAAGTTTGGTGGCTATTAAAACATTTAACTTCTGTCTGGAGTAGCTTAAATTTTGCTAAAAATTTAAGTCAATGTCAATAATTAATTTTAATTATATATTTAGTGGGATTTATAACATTTAAATCAATGTTCGATAGAGATTAAAATCTAGATTTTAATTTGATTTAAAGTTATCAATTAATTTTAGTCACATATTTCAAGAGATCCATTACGTTTCAACCACGTGTTTCTTTAACTTTTATTAATATCTACTAAA